CATAATAATTTTGTAAGAGACTTGACTTACATTATTTAGCATTTAAAAACTTGTTTATATGAACTCACTTTTATACACACATAAACTTTTATAAGGAACTTATGGGGACGCCTGGGTGGCTCAGTCGGTTGGGTGTCTGACTTCGGCTCAGGTCATGATCTCACGGTCCGTGAGTTCGAGCCCCGCGTCGGGCTCTGTGCTGACAGCTCAGAGCCTGGAGCCTCAGATGCTGTGTCTCCCTCTCTCTGCCCCTCCCCGGTTCATGCTCTGTCTCTCTCTGTCTCAAAAATAAATAAAGGTTAAAAAAAAATTGAAAAAGAAAATAAATAAAGAGTAGAAAATGAAGACAAAGCCTATCTTTGGAGGCAAAGCTTTAACACCACAGGTTTAGATCATTAAAAAAGAAAGAAAGAAAGAAAAGGAAAAACAAACAACAACAACAACACACTCCATTGATCAGATCGGGGGAAAGGTTGGATGTAGGTTGAAATCCCATAGAGTGGCTGCAGGGTTTTACAGCCTATTTTGACAACCCCATCCTGTGTTCACAGTGATCATTCTTAACACCATGCACGTTCAAAACGACCTCATATATTGGGTGCTTGGGACAAATAGAAAGGATCAAAATGGCATCAATGGCCCAATCATCCGGCATCCCATCTCCTCACAACAGATTTGAGGGTCATCCACGGAGTAGACACAGTTTAAAGGTGGAATAGTGTAAAATGGCTCCATAAGGGCTATGTCTGAAGTATATTGGATCCATATCTTTTTAATCTCTGGGACAGCCCTAAAAGTAGGGCTAAATATCACAGTTTCATTCTAATGAAAAAAAAAAGTTTTGTTTTTTTTTTTTTCGAACACCAACTGCGTTACGTTCAGAGAAGAGAGCTCTTCACACCTCCATCTACTTCCGTTCATGGAAACCAAGCCAACTTTTCTCCAAGGTCCCTTTCTCTATGGCATAATTACTACCGGCTGTAGGAACCCTATTTAATAAATCCAACATTTGTTTCTGGGGGACTGAGTCTTACAACGCGCACACAGTTCATTTTAGTTGATTTTATAATATCAACTTACACCCATTATTTAGATCCAAGTTCTTTATCTTTTTATTTTTATTTATTTTTTAAAGTTTATTCACTTATTTTGAGAAAGACAGAGAAAGTGCAAGCGGGACAGGGACAGAGAGAGAGGGATAGAGAAAATCGCAAGCAGGCTCTATGCAGTCAGCACAGAGCTTGATTCAGGGCTCGAACTCATGAACCGTGAGATCATGACTTGAACGGAAGTCAGAAATCGGAGGCTTAACCCACTGAGCCACCCAGGTGCCCCTAGATCCAAGTACTTTCAATGAATACTAAGGTACTCTAGAAGAAAATTCTATTGGATAGTCTAGCATTTGCTTTACTTTTGTCATCCTAACCAAGTTTTGAGGACTATAAATAGCTTTAATTATCCTCCATAGCTAAAGATACAGATATAAATTTGTTAGGCAAAGAGAATGCAAAAAGAATGACAGGACCTCAGTCTGTATTTGCACATTAGCAAACAAGAGATGATCTCATCCCTTATTGCCTCACATGGAAGACTGCAGCCTATGGGATGGTTTAAAAAAAAACACAAAAAACTCAAAACAAGTGACTGGACTAGGTGAAAGGAAGAGAGGTGATTATCTGTGAGATAGGGAAGGGCAGTGCTATATTAGAAGCGGTTGTTTTTGAACTTGAGACAAATTCATGACCTATATATGAAGCAGGAAATTTTCATATATTCAACAATGAAGTCAGAGAATTGAAGTGCTTGGATGCATACCTAAAATGGGAAAATGTGTGTAGTCATGGTTTAAATTTTTTAACAAATCTAAGGCTTTGATTACATCTAGTGTGTAATTAATACATACTGGCTAAAAAAATGCTAAAGCCATTTCAGACGTTTTGACATTCTCCACAAAGGTGTTGTATATTTATTGTGGATATGATTATTCTTAGATACTTGATGTATGTTGAGGTTGTGGAAATTTCATCTTTTAAGAGAGTGTTTCATTTGAACTGTTTGCTGATGATATGAAGAGATGGAACAGATAGTTGCACATTTATTATGTGTCCAGAAACCTTGCAAGTGGGCATTTGAACAATGTTTTGAAGAATCCTTTTGGATAATCTGTGTAATCTGAATCATCGTCTGTGGATAAGGTCAATTTTGTTTTGTGCTTTCTGATCTTACATCTTTTACGTCATTTTCTTGTCTTACTGTGATTGGTGAAAACCTGCAAAAAAATAGATATAGTGAGATGTTTTTAGCTCACTGGGCCCCAAAGTCAGGGGGAATGATTTCAACGTATCCATGGGTACGATATTTCCTCTAGGGTTTTGTACACAGCTTTTTACCAGGAAAAAGAATATTGTATTCTATGCCCAGTTTGCTAAGAACATTTATTATGAGTAAATGCAGATTTATGTTAAACTTTTTCCCCCTGGTATTTCTCCTTTAATCTACTAATGTGTTGATCACATTATAGCCATATATGGGTATACTTCTAGATAGAAGTATAGGGTTTCTAATGCTTCATTTTTGGGATCTCATTGACACGGCAGTTTGGTTTCTATTCAGTTGAACTATTCTTTTCCATAGTAACTAAGGACCTCCTTGCTACCGCCTTATAAAAGAAGGGTAGTAGCAGGAAGAATTGGCTACCATTTCTTTGTAACACTCCTTGCTCATGGTTGCTTTGAATCCTGTGACCTCTTGGTTTCTGTTCTCTGTCTGACTGCCTTTTGTCTTTGATTTCTTTATCCTCTGGTGTTCCTCGGGGCCGTGGAGCTCATCCATCACCTTTTGTGGAATTGCGTATGTGCTGATGACTCCCAAATCTGTTTATAATCTCAATTTCTTTTCTGAGCTGTAGTCACAAATACCCAAGTGACTGCCCTATCTTTCCACTTGGATGATTTACAGATACTCCGAAAATGTTCAAAACAGAACTCACCGTTCTCCAACTTTTCTTCTGTCTCCCGCCCATTGCTACTATGTTTGTTTGTTTGTTTGTTTGTTTTAAAGTTTATTTTTGAGAAAGAGAGAACAGGAGCAGGGCAGGGGCACAGAGAGACAGAGGACCCAAAGTGAGCTCCATGCTGACTGCAGAGAGCCGGATGTGGGGTTCACATCTCACAGAACCGGGAGATCATGACCTGAGCCAAGTTGGCTGCTTCACCCACTGAGCCACCCAGGTGCCCCTGACCACCCCTTGCTTCTAGAGCTGCTCTCCCTCCAGGGATTCCTTCGGGTCCTCGTACTCCATGCATCCAGGTGCAAAAGAAGAAGCTTGAAAGTGCCGGCTTCTCTGTCTTTTTATAGCCCCAAATCCATCACCAAGACTTGCTGATTCCATCTCCTAAATGCTTCTCATAGCCATGAATTTCACTCCATTTCTAGACATTAATCTTAGTCAAGGCTATCATTCTCCTTTCGAAAATGCTACTACCAAATTTCTTTATTTGCCTTCAGCCTTGCTGTATCCCATAAATTCCTTTCTTCCTTCCCTTTTTCCTTTCTCCCTCCCTTCTTTCCTTCCTCCCTTTCTTTCTTTCTCTTTCTTCCTATAATTTTAAATATTTGTTCTAAATCAAAAATTTTGTCATACAAAATAATTTACCCATAGTTCATTGTACAACATTGTTCTTGAAATATACACTTTACAAAATTCATAGAATTTAATTTGGGAGTGTGACAGTAACATTGAAAAGGGCCAAGGGCCAAGGTTTTTATTTTATTTTTAATTTTTTAATTTTTTTTTTTAAATTTCATTCACTATTTTGGATGTGGTCTGGCAACACCAGAACACTTAATGCCAACAGACACAAGAGCTGGAACTCTGAGTTCATTTCTGGTACATTAATGGCTTCTGTCAAACTCATTGTTCCTAGAATATAGAGCAAAGATGTTTGTTTATTATTTCCTTATATAATCTGAGATGATTTTCTACCTATTTTCTGTTAATTAAGGCTAGATGGACACCATTATATCTCTGGCCAAAACAAATAGAACAAGTACAAAAATAAAGAGCAAAACTGGGGAATATGTTTAACTACTCAGAAGACATGTTACTCAGAGGTACCTGAAGAACATTGTAATTAAAGTAAATTATCAGTGAGAAGACTTTAATTTCAGAAAAGTAATTTGGGTTTTGCCGTCTTTTTGTATTTTGTTTGATCAGGACAAAATATAACTTAGTTCTCTCCTGAAATCCTAATTATCTATAAAATCTGAGGAAAATACCAATTTTTTTCTCTTTCCCCAGCAGTAATGTTTATAGTTACCTTTTTTGTGTTCACATTACATTTTATTCTTACTTCTTATTATTTCTTTCTGTGTTTTCACTATTTTCTGGATCTCCTAATGTGTTTTTTTTTTTCATAGCAAAGTATATTACTTTTGGAAATGACTCTGACACATAGCAGATACTCAAGATATATTCATTGAATTATAACTAAATTTTAGGACAGTTTATTTAGATTTAGATTATTAGATTATTTCAAAACTTTCTATGAAAAACAACGAAAATATTTGGATCTAAATGGCATAGTATTTCAGGTGAGGTAATTTTTTTCACAAATCAGCGAAAAAGAATCTGGCCCATATTTGCATGCTAGCGAATTTGACTTCAACCTTTGGATCATTACCTCAAGTGGAAAATTCGAATCCTTGCCAACTATAAATAGAAACACAAACGGTTTGGTTTGGAAATGAGTAGCTCTTTCAAATAAATAAAACCATCTTCATGAAAGTATGTGGGATGCTACCCCTTAGCAGATGGTTCTGGATTAAGATCGGCATTACAATAAAGCAGAGAAATTTCCATATACGTATATATATATATGAGAAGGTATCCAACAGCAGCAGGTTGTGGTTAACACTGGAATCGCAAAGAAACACGGTGAAGGTAACTATCAGAAATGGATGCTGTGCCGAGACAGTTTGATTACAAATTTGCTAATGAGACACGACGTTAGAAATTTGGATTTTTTTCCTGCGGAAATGTTAGCCGGACTGGATAAAATCTTTCTTACGCTGTCAACGGCAGAATTCATAATTGGAATGTCGGGGAATGTGTTCGTTGGACTGGTGAACTGCTCTGAATGGATCAAGAACCAAAAAATCTCTTTTGTTGACTTCATCCTCACCGGCTTGGCTCTCTCCCGAATCACTCAGCTGCTGGTGTCATTGTGGCAATCATTTGTAATGACACTTTCTCCGCCTTTCTATTCCACTTGGAAATCAGCAAAACTTAATACTTTGCTTTGGAGAATAACTAATCACTGGACTACCTGGTTTACGACCTGCCTGAGCATTTTCTACCTCCTTAAAATAGCTCACTTCTCCCACTCTTTCTTCCTCTGGCTGAAGTGGAGAACGAACAGGGTGATTCTTGCCATTCTTGTCCTTTCTTTGCCCTTTCTGCTGTTTGACTTCCTGGTGCTAGAATCATTGAATGATTTCTTCTTAAACGTCTATGTGATGGATGAAAGTAATCTGACGTTACATATAAATGACAGTAAAACCCTTTATATTAAAACCCTGATTCTTCTTAGTTTTTCCTATACCATTCCTATTGTTCTGTCCCTGACCTCACTGGTCCTATTGTTTCTGTCCTTGGTAAGACACATCAGAAATTTGCAGCTCAACGTCATGGACTCCAGGGACCCCAGCACACAGGCCCATAAGGGGGCCATTAAAATGGTTATGTCTTTCCTCCTCCTCTTCACAGTTCATTTTTTTTCCATCCAATTGACAAACTGGATGCTTTTGATATTTTGGAACAACAAGTTCACAAAGTTTATCATGTTGGCCATATATGTCTTTCCCTCAGGCCACTCGTTAATTTTGATTCTGGGAAACAGCAAACTGAGACAGACAGCCTTGAAGGTACTGCGGCATCTTAAAAGCACCTTGAAAAGAGAAAAAACAGTTTCGTCTTTACAGATAGACATTCCAGGGTCTTTCTAAAGATAAAGACTTAATGAGGAGTCTTTGAGGATCAATTTCACTTCTCTTTTTTTTTCCGCCTACAGGGTTCCTTTAAGTATTGTCAAACATTAATGAAATTTCCCCTAGAAAAAGTTACTTTTGATGATAATTGACCCATGGTCAGCCAATACAATTTTTAAAGTATTCAGTTTTGTTTAACACAGTGGTTACCAATATTTAAAAATTGCAAATAGTCTTTCAAAGAGAATCTAAATTATTTAATTTTATATGCAAAAGATTTATGTAATTGTAATTCATATTACATGTCAGAAGCATGTCGTGTTTTAGAAATCAAGATAAATTACTATTCACTAGGTAGACGATCTATAAAATGGTGATAGAAAAGTTAATTGAGCAACTAAAGTCAGAGATGGGAAAAACATGACCTCATAGGGTAAAGGCTTAATTTTTTTTAAATGAAAAAGTTTTTCACTGTTGTCATTAGAAGTCTTATTGATAACATGGGAATGAGTTATTTGAAAATAATATTCACAGTGCAAAACAAAATAAACTAAAAACACATGCTTATAATGCTAATCTTAATTTGAAAGTGGTATTTTGACTATCATAACCTAAATTTAGATAAAGTAACTACAAATTCTAAATAAAGTTAAGGGTAGAAAAGTTTACTATAACATTTTGAACATGATGTTGTAGATTTTAATATTATACAGATGCTATGCAGCTATATATAATGGAATTCTTTAAAAATGAAGAATTCTTGGGTCGCATGGGCGACTCAGTCAGTCAACTGTCTGACTCTTGGTTTAGGCTCAGGTCATGATCTCACAGCCATGAGATGGCGTCCCCATCGGGCACCACGCTGGCTGTGGAGCCTGCTTGGGATCTCTCTCCCTCTCTCTCTCTGCCCCTCCCGCACCCCTTTCTCTCAAAATAAGTACACTTTTTTAAAAAATGAAGAATTTACTTAGGGTTTCTTAGGGTTTACTTTCTTAGTAAACCCTAAGGGTTTACTTTCGATGTATTCTTTAGATTGCGTTAAAGAAACAAAAAAGTTGTAATTAAATGATGATAAACACGTGGGTTGTAAATTAGTCTTGACGGACCTGTAGGTATGGACATTGTTCTAGGGCTGCTCCCTGGACCTGGAATGGTGTTAGAATTATAAACATTTCTCCCTGTCCTCCCTCGCCGTATTTAGAAAGCTAAACCTCTAACACGTCTAGGCTGTGTGGTGCTTCCGTGTATTGATAACAATAACGATGTGGATAACGGTTTTAATCATAAGACATATTTTACCATTTTCCCTAAGTAATTTACATTTTACAAAAGTAAATTTATTTATTTGGCCCTTAACTTACTATTTTGTCTGATTATCACTGTAATTATCTGGCCTTGGTAAAAGCGAATATGCAAATCAGGCTGAGTACCTTTAGATTCAGGCATTGAGTTTGTTTTGTTTTAGATAGCCTTTCATAGAAATGACTTAGACATAACCTTGTACTATTTATAAGATGGTGACCAAGCACATTGTTTAATTTTTAGCGTTATGAAACTTTTCTTTGGTATGCAAGATAAAGTGATTGAGTTAATTTTTTAGCAGCTCTTCTTTCTAAGAAGTAGGCCTTAGGGATAAGTGAGTGAATGTTTAACTTGGAGTAAGTCAACACTCAGGCAACAAAGTTAGGGAGATGGAACTATAAGGAATAGGGCTCTAGTCTTGACAAAGCAAAGGACTAGTAAAAGAAGACAAGGTCACAGGCTGGGGTCATTGCAACTGACGTACTGTAGACTGTATTTGAAGAGCGAGTGAGATCGAGCCCTGCATCTCTACTTTCCCCGTAACAAGAGATGTCGTGGGGGACTCAACAGCAGCTGAGCCACAATCCAAGAAGAGCCACTCCCAACACAGGCATGGCCAGTGTCATCCACCCAGAGAAGAAATATCCATAATTGTATCCTACCCTGGGACCAAAGTGTTGGGGAAGGATGGAGATTGTCACCGATTTCTTGTTAACTATTCTTCTCCCCCACCAAATAAATGTTCAGTTAAAGATTCTGGTGTAATGATTGGTGTTTTCCATTTGTCTACCAGGTGATTTATGGAAGAGGAACAAATAACTTGTTTCTACTGCTGAAATGGTCGTATCTCTGATCCTTAGGGTGACTACTGGAGGCAACTGATAAGACATAAATCAAGCACAGCAAGACAGTTCTCATGAACCCTGGTGATGAATGTGTCATATAGAAACCCATACCTCTAGTGATCTCTGAGAAAGGCATGCAAATTTCCTCAAGGTCTCTGGTGGTTTGTCTGCTATCTGCCAGTAGGTGGCTTCTCCTCATAAGATCTTGATTAGACCCCATCTCCTCTGAGCCAGGGATGCCTTTAAGGGACATGTGTATCATCGCAGGGTCTTCCCAATTCTGTCATTTGAGACACCGGATAAGTTGCCTAGAGTAACTCCATATCCTGTTCAGGACCTTAAGACCGATCTTCACAAGAAACAAATTGATTTGAAAAGTTTGAGGAATTTGAAAAACATACAGGCAAACTTGTTTTTTGTCTCCTTGTACACTTACAGACTACAGCTTTTCAAATTTTATTTTTTATTTTTTTCCATCAATATCAACGCAGCCTCAGAAGACGGTGGAAATACCCAATCATTCTTATTTTGAGCGTGAGACAGGTTTGCCAATGTGGAGGTTGGTATCAGTTAGACTGGCCCTGTCTTAGGTTTGTCATGAGAAAGAACCAGTGAGGATGTTGGCCCCCTAAGGATTTTGAGGGGAAAAGACCCATGGCCTTCAGTTTTGGAAACAAAAAGAATATGCTAAGTGAAACAAAAATCTATGATGAAACATGAAAGGTTGTTTATGTAAGCAGTGATTAAGCTGGGCAAATAGTCTCCATTTGTGAAAGATGAAATCTCCATCCCTTCAGGCGGTGGCCCTTGCCCCAGCTAATTGCTTCTTCAACTAGGGTCCAGCCAAAGAAACACTGAAGTTCTCTTTTACTTAAAAACAAAACAAAACCAAACCCAAACAAATAAACAAAAACCCCACAAAGGCCAGTACTTTAATGCAGTGACTATCAAGTTCGGTGCATGAAAGTTCCTCGTCGCAATTCAAAAAGAACCAGGAAGCTACTTGTGTTTGCAAATAAGTGGAAAAGCTTGCTATTGATAGGATGGGAGAGAGCATACAGGGCAACATTTGTTGCCCGCTTCTCTGAGACTGTCAGGAGATCTAAACATGCGGGCTTGGGGAGGGAAAGGCAACAGAAAGAATCCAACAGAAAGCTAAGGTATATTTTTTCACTGGAGATGTCACAGACACGGGGAGGAAACAGGAAGAACTCAAGCCCCCCCACCCCAAGGTGGTATTAATGATAGGACCTCAGAAAATATTCAGTTGAACCATCTTTATTTAAACCCACATAAGTGTTAGTTGATCACTATATAAGTATCACTCCCTATCACTCAGGAAGTCAGCATTTTGTTTGAAATAGGCCAACATAGACTTCCGAATGTATTTTCTCACAATTCCTTAGAAGAATTGTCTCTCTTTCAACTGATGACTATAACATAAGTGTTCATACGTTTTCGGATTTAAATCAGTCATCATTGGAAGTTCAGACTATTTGGGATTGTCACTGTATCATACACATAAGTTTAATTAATTGTTATCTGCCCAAGCATTTTGTAATAATATATCTTATGTTTATACGTGCAATAATACTTTTTCTTTATCAAGTATAACAACTTCTATTTTAAGATAGATCTGGAAATATCAGTGATCTCTAGGGCCTTCTTGGTTTCCTGACACAAAATACAGAGTTTTGGGGACACCTGGGTGGCTCAGCTGGTTGAGTGTCCGACTCTTGATTTCAGCTCAGGTCATGATCCCAGGGTCATGTGACTGAGCCTTATGTCTGCTCAGCATGGAGGCTGCTTGGGATTCTCTCTCTCTCTCTCTCTCTCTCTCTTCCTGTCTCTCTCTCCAGCTTGTGCATGCTTTCTTTTTCTCTAAAAATTAAAGATTAGAAAATTAAAATTAAAAAACAAAATATAGAATTCTCTAACCATCTCCAACTCCCTTGCCTGGAAGTACTTCTTTTTCATGAAGAAAAGTAAAAAAGTCCCCACCTCCTGGGTGCTACCCCTGCAAGCTTTTATGATTCTGTATGACTTCTGGCTTTCAACCAGAAAGGCTGGAGACCGGTGTCAGTTATTTCCAGGTTAGTACAGAAATTGTGCATGAATTCATACATATGTCATAGAACTTTCTCCAATTTTAAAGAGTTGCTTTCGTTTCTTGTTCTTATACTTGTTTGCACAGTCGAGTCTCATTCATTGGTCTCTTTTTCTCTGCTCCCAATAGGATTACCAACTAAGTTAGTATTCATTCACTTAACCAATAGCTATTGAGGGTTTACTGTTTGCCAGCCCCTCCCTGTCCACATCGGTGGACAACAAAATAGTCCCTTCTGTCCTGGAGCTTAATGTGATCGTAGAGGTACTTGGTAGCTAAGGTCACCTAATCTACATGCCTGACATTACGTTTTTGGTGCCTGTAAAATCTTAGGCCCCCACTCTCAATGTGCATAAAAGCAGAACACCAGGTCGGTGCTCCCTTTGGTGCCCCGTGACTTCTGGTGTGGCCTTTGAGCGTTCAGGCATTGGTAATGTAGAGCATCACTATTGACAGTCTGAGGCCAACACAAAACAGGTAGTTTTAACCAGAGTCAAAATTGGCTGAATGGGGAATGCATTGAGGGCTAGGGGGCAAAATTCCTGTCTCGTTCCTGGAGAATCTTCATAGATTTGCAGCTTTCAGGTACAAAGATTTTTGCCTGGGTTCAGAAGGTACTTTCAACCATGTATGGAGGAGTTCTCAATGGGTGCCAACAATATATCCTAGACAATAAAGTAAGATTCCCTGGGGTTGGCTCACAGACATTAACATATATTAATTAATATATATATTAATATATAACTATTAATAATTAATAATAACTAATAATTATATTAATATATATAAATATATATTAATATATAATATATAACATATAATTAATATAACACACGTACGTACACCTAAAGTTCTCTCCATAGGAGAGAGAACCTTGCGGTCGAGGTTGAAAGACGATTGTATTAAAGTTACCTGTTCGTTGAAACCAAAACCAAACTAAAATAAATTTTACTGTAACTGAATTTTTTATGAGACAAAAGAGTTTACCAAAAGCAGGATTAATGAAAAGAACCCCTTCCCACTCCCCGCTCCTCCATTTTTTTTCTACTCTATTTTTTTCTTACTATATTTTCCCTCTCAGGTGACAAGAGCTTATTCAGAATCAAATAGGCAGTAACTGATTGAGAAGAAAGCTCAAAATATTCAGAGTAATAGCTCAAATAGGTCTGATATTGGTACCTTTGCATATGGTTTTATACCCTTCTGGAAGATCATTTCCCTTTGTGTCTATTTCTTCAGGAAATCCTAAAAAGTTTCAAGACGGCTGTAGATTTCGTAGCACACTTCTCTGTGTGGCAAGTTACATTTTGGTCAAACTTCTGTCACATTCAATGGTAACAGTTTATTTGACGTTGCTTTTCCTAATACCCTGTGAGCTCCTTGACGTTACTTCTCTTTATTACGCTTACCACATCTATAATAGTATCTGAAATATGATGGGTTTTATCAAATGGATTTAATGAATAGTGCCTGAGAATTCTATTAAAATTAAGCAACCTGAATCCAAATTCTATTTTCTTATTTATTTATTTATTTATTTAGAGAATCCCAAGCAGCCTCCACACTGTTAGCACAGAGCCCCATGCTGGGCTCAATCTCACAAACCGTAGATCATGATCTGGGCCGAGATCAAGAGTCCAACGCTTTGCTGACCGCGCCATCCATGTGCCGCCCAAATGGTATTTTCAATTGAAAAGGAAAGCGCAGGGGCAGCTGGGTGGCTCAGTCAGTTAAGCATCCGACTTCGGTTCTGGTCATGATCTCATGGTTTGTGAGTTCAAGCCCCGCGTCAGGCTCTGTGCCGATAGCGGCAACGCCTGGAGCCAGTTTTGGATTCTGTGCCTCCCTCTCTCTCTGCTCTCCCTCTCTCTCTGCTCTCCCTCCTTTGCTCATGCTCTCTCTCTCTCTCTCTTTCTCAAAAATAAACATTAAAAAAATAAAAGAAAGGGAAGGAAAGTGCAAATCAGTGTAAAGAAATCGCCTCGTATTTGCATGTTCCCATATTTGACTTTGTTCTTCCAGATGTCCTCCCAAGCGCAACACTGCTGTCAGTGCCAGTGATGAGTGGGAACGTTTACTGTTTAATTTGGAAATCAGTAGCTGATTAGAAGTTACATTAAAGTTTTTCATTTAGGTCTGTGAGACCGGATCTCCTTGTGTAAAGCTCGGACTTACAGCTGGAACCAAAGGGAAAGATGTTTCGTGAAGGTCAGTGAGATAGTATCTGAGCATTTTTAATATCAAAGTGAAAAGTATCAAAGTGGACTTTATCCTCCAACGTTTGACAGAACAACAACCACAACAAAAATCAGTGAAACATAGGGCTAGTTTCCTGGATTCTTTCTACAGAAATGCCATCTGGAATCGAAAATACTTTTCTGACAGCAGCAGTAGGAGCATTCATGATTGGAATGTTGGGGAATGGTTTCATCGCACTCGTCAACTGCATTGACTGGGTGAAGCATCGAAAGCTCTCGCCAGCTGACTGCATCCTCACCAACCTGGCTGTCTCCAGAATCATTCTTCTTTGGATGATACTATTCGATTCGCTTGTAATGGTGTTTTGGCCACATCTATATAACATTGAGAAACTAGCTGCCGCTGTTAATATCTGTTGGACACTGACCAATCACCTAGCTACCTGGTTTGCCACCTGCCTGAGTGTTTTCTATTTCTTTAGGATAGCCAATTTCTCCCACCGCTGTTTCACCTGGCTGAGGCGGAGAATTAGCAGGGTGCTCCTTGTGCTTCCTCTGGGGTCTTTATTCTTACTGGTTTTCAACTACAAATTATTAGTTGGATTTTCTGATCTCTGGGCTACCATCTACCACAACTATGAAAGAAACTCAACTCGGCCCCTAGATGTAAGTAAAACTGGGTATCTTAACAGCTTGGTTATTCTCAGTTTCATCTACTTAATCCCCTTCCTTCTGTCCCTGACCTCACTGCTCCTTTTATTTCTCTCCTTGATGAGACATACCAGGAACGTGCAACTGAACTCCAGCTCGAGGGACTTCAGCACAGAGGCCCATAGAAGGGCCATGAAAATGGTGATATCTTTCCTCCTCCTCTCCACGGTTCATTTTTTTTCCATCCAGTTAACAGGTTGGATTTTCCTTTTACTGAAGAAACATCATGCCAATTTGGCGGTCACGTTGACATCGGCTCTTTTTCCTTCAGGCCACTCATTTATCCTCATTTTTGGAAACAGCAAGCTGAGACAAACTGCTTTAGGACTACTGTGGCATCTCAATTGCCACCTGAAAATGGTGAAACCTTTAGCTTCATAGATTTCCAGAATTTTCTATAACCCAAGAGAATTAATGATGAACATTGAAGATCCATTTTAACTTTTGTTTTTCTCGCTGGATGCTTTTTCGATGCTATTAAACATCACAGACTTTCCCTAGAATGACCTATAACCTTAATAAGCAAACATGATTGTCATTGTAAAACTTGCTGGTAACAAGAACATACGTGAGTCAGTATGAATATAAAATTTATAATGCAACATGTATTAATGTTACACATGTTAGCAGACATTTATTACATTCATATGTGAGAAAAAATGATTATTTAGAAAAGAAAATCCTCTCCAAGTTGAACGAGGTGGAATATTTGTACAATACTAAGTTAAAAAGAAAGGAATAAAAATGCCGGAAGCACGGTCCCGTAACAAAGACATAACTTTTAAAACAAAGGAACAGACTGTCACTATGAATCCAAGCTAGAATAGACACTACATTTGTTGAATAAGACAAAAAAATTGACTTAATCTATAAGAAGACATTGAATAATTATCCCTAAGTGTAGAATAATGCTTTTATGTCTACTTTACGCACTTAGACACTGAGTTTGTATGGGGTGTGTGTCTGCGTGTAAGGATTGATTATATGAACATTTGTGTATCTTGTCAAAGAGGACAAACACAACCAACTCACTTGCCAGGGATAAGAACGGAAAGTTTACAAGGGAATATTGTGTATTTGTATAAAATTTAAACATGTGGGTGTATATATGTAGTGCTAGGTTGACTTTTCTCATAAAATAATTGAAATGAAATCAAAGTACCTGAAAATGTATATAATCTTAAGGTCAGCAGGTGGCAAAATTGTGCTTGCTAATGATATGGAAATTGTGAATAGAAGTTTGATATATAGTAATTTTTAGAGGTTGTAATTTTAAACATTTTTTAAAACTATCAACAATGAAGAGATCTTTGTAGGGTTTTAAATGGCTGTCATTGTTTCAATTGTAGAAGCAAGCAAAAAACAAAACCAAATTAGATAATCAATGTTGAATACATGTGGGTTATAAGTCAATTTTGATGGAGCAGTAGGTCAGGTCTGATGCTGGGAAGAACATAAAAACCATAAGGGTTTTGTGTCTTACTCCAGGAACCATCTGATGTAACCATGATGATTAGGACCCATGCACATAAGACCCACATAAAGATTTAGATTTTTTAAAATATAGTTTTAAAAGATTTATTAAGTAATCTCTACACCCAACATGGGGCTCAAACTTACAACCCTGAGATCAAGGGTTTCATGCTCTACAGGCTGAGCCAGCCAGGCCACCTAAAGATTTATTTATTTATTTTTTTTCCAACGTTTATTTATTTTTGGGACAGAGAGAGACAGAGCATGAACGGGCGAGGGGCAGAGAGAGAGGGAGACACAGAATCGGAAACAGGCTCCAGGCTCTGAGCCATCAGCCCAGAGCCCGACGCGGGGCTCGAACTCACGGACCGCGAGATCGTGACCTGGCTGAAGTCGGACGCTTAACCGACTGCCCCACCCAGGCGCCCCAAGATTTATATTTTTCAACTTCACTCATTATGTTGGACACTATATAAGAAATTTCCCGGGTGGGGGGTGGGGGAATTAGATGGTGACCAAAAGGTACAAACTTCTAGTTATAAGAAAAATACATACTAGGGATGCAATGTATAACATGGGAACTGTGATTAACACTGCTGTATGGTATGCTATCACAGTGGATCCTGAAAGTTCTTGAAAGTTGCTGAGAGTGGATCCTAAAAGTTCTCATCATTGGGGCACCTGGGTGGCTCAGTCGGTTGGGCGTCCGACTTCGGCTCAGGTCATGATCTCACAGTCTGTGAGTTCAAGCCCCACGTCAGGCTCTGCGCTGACAGCTCAGAGCCTGGAGCCTGCTTCAGATTCTCTGTCTCTCTCTGCCCCTCCCCCACCCTCACTGTGTCTCTCTCTCAAAAAAAAAAAAAAAAACCAAAAAAAAAAAAACCCCATAAAAGTTCTCATCACACGGAAAAGTACCTTTTTGGGGGTATCTACGTGAGATAGTGGATTTTAACTGAACTTATTGCGGTAATTATTTTGCAATAATTGTAAGTCAAGTTATTATGGTGCACAGTTTAAGATTATACGGTGCTGTGTGTCAACCAAATCTCTATAAAATGGAAAAGAAGACATTTCCTAATGATTGTCCCTGGGATTATCTTGCTCGAGGAAAGGTGAAATTCTAATACTGGCTATATTTAGATTCAGATATTGAGGATAATTTGCTTTAGAATGCCTCCTGTTCAATAGGAAAGTTAGATTACTTTGTGCTTATTAGAAAACAAGCATATTTAGTTTTCGTTTTTAGATTTACACTCTGGTGTCAGTCAACTTTAATGACCAAGATGAAAATGATTTAAACAACCATTACGAGTGGGATTTAGCAGTAAATGTCTCACAGGGACTATGTCTTCACTTCTCATGTAGTAATGTTGGGGGGATGAAGCTATAAGCAGGAACCTATTCCTGACAATAAGAAGCACAGAAAATGACTATTAAAATGTGAGGCCTGTGCTATAGACTGGTTAGTGGCTACTGATGTATTGCATTTTCCCTATTAAAAAGATTAACTTGAGATTGAGGCCTATGTTCCCCCTTCCTGGAACAAGAGCCTGTGTTAGAGACTCTAGTCATGATCCAAGAAAAGCTACACCTATCACATCGATAGCTAGTCCCACGCAATCAGGAGAGAATTGTATCTTATTCTGGGACCAAGTTATGGTTCCCAGTGATTGCCATTGCTTTCTTGCTATCACTTCCCTCCAAAAGGAACTTTTTTTTAAAGAATTTTTTGTGGCTCAGTCGGTTAAGCGTCCGACTTCAGGTCAGGTCATGATCTCACGGTCCGTGAGTTTGAGCCTCGCGTCGGGCTCTGTGCTGACCTCTCAGAGCCTGGAGCCTGTTTCGGATTCTGTGTCTCCCTCTCTCTCTGACCCTCCTCCATTCATGCTCTGTCTCTTTCTGTCTCAAAAATAAATAAACGTTAAAAAAATTAAAAAGCAACAATCTCTACACCCAACATGGGACTTGAACTCATGGCCCCAAGATCAAGAGTCACATGCTCTACTGTCTGAGCCAGCCAGGCAACCCTTAAAGAAACTCTTTATAGTCTCAATGTACTAAGTTTTATTTATTTATTTTTTCAGTTTGCCCACACCGGAGACCAGGAGAGTTGCAAATAACTTGTTTTCAATGCCAAAAGAGGCTTTTACCTGAGCCCTTGCCCTTGGTGTAGAGCTTGGCCTGGACCCTTGCCCAAGCTAAGATAGTTTAATTTCGAGCCATATGGTCTTGAAATTTACTAAAAGAAAAGGTACCAATGGAAATATGCATGGATCAATATGGATTCAAAGGTGACATTGTCGACTTTCTGATGGTTTAGGTATTTTGTCTGCTGTTCTGGATTGAACTTCATGTGCTCTGAACCAGGGACTTCCTTAACTGAGGTACGGAAACAAGGGGGCCATGTGCAAAACCCGTAATTTCACACTCCACTCACCTGCGACATTGGTTAATGCTTTTTGTAGGAATCAATGCCATATGCTGGACGGCTCTCAGGATAAATCTTCATTTAAAAAATTGATCAGATGATTGGTTTGACAATTCAGAAAGAAAGTTATTGACGGAGGTTATTTGTAGGAAAAAATCACAGGTGACAGATGGGCTATTTTCTTTCTTTTTTTAAAATGTTTATTTTTGAGAGAGAGAGACAGAGTACAAGCAGGAAAGGGGCAGACAGGGAGACACAGAATCCGAAGCAGGCTCCAGGCCCCGAGCTGTCAGCACAGAGCCCGACGTGGGGCTTGAACCCACAAACCATGAGATCATGACATGAGCCAAAGTCAGATGTTTAACCAACTGAGCCACCTAGGCACCCTTGGGCTATTTTCAATTTTAGCACTTTTGGGAAACACCAACATCCATGCAGCTTTATAACACAAAGGTACTGGTACCTCTATTCCTTGGCACCATGTTTCAATGAGTTAGTTTAAAAAATAACTTCTTTTTCTTTTTATACAGATCTAACTTGACCTCTGAATTTTAAGTCCTATTAATTATAGTCCTCTTTGACTTCAGTGTGAAATGCTTTCAAAGTTTTCTTTTTATTAATTGGCAAACTAAGATAGTTTCTTAAAAAAAATCTTTTTCAAATTAAACCTCTTTTTATTTATTTGTTGGCCCCACTCTCCATGATTTCAGAGCAGACATTTGAAGCACACTATTTCATTAGCAACTTTTACCTTTTGGTTGTGATAACTTATTTTTCCTCACTTTGGTTCCTAGGAAAAGGTATACTGAATCTATTTCACCCAGTATATGAACAACTTTCATTCTTCTTTGTTCATGGATGCCCTCCACTACCTTCCTGTGAATAAATCCACAGTATTTGAAAGCCATAAAGATTGGCAAAATTTCCTAATGTATGCGGCAGATCCCTAATTAGGATAGGAACTGGTAGGATTGCCTGGCCTCAAATGTACTGCAGCTAAAACTACTAAGAATTCCATAGTTCCTTATCATTTGTTGTAGGCTCTGTAATGTCCTTGGCCTTTTGGTTGTTCCAAGAGCATGACTGAGATTGGTATTTGTGTGGAGGAGAGGTGAGCAGAAGTGGACTTTAGCTGTAAAGATTCATGACTTGTTCTGGTGGTAATCTTGCTGGGCAGGAGGTTATTAAAGATTTCTTATTAAAATTGTAATGAAATTCCCACACTCGTGGTAATCCAAGCAGACTTATGTGACTCAACTGAAACCTGTTGAAATTCTATTTATTGCAGGGATCCCTTTCTTGGTTCACTTGCTCGAAACCTTCCAAGTCTATTCTTCAGACTACTTTCCAGGCTCAGTTTCTGGCATTTTCCTCCCCCTCTCCTTTTGTTCCTATATGCCTAAACTTTCCATTCCTGCCCCTTGATGTCTCCACGTGTAAGTCCCATTTTCTTTTCGACTCTATCAAATCTATTCATGCTCTACCAGGAAAAGTCCCCATTAGAATAAGATTATAAGACTTTTAACAGAAAATTTAGTTAGGCCTCCCCAAAGCAGTGATGGACAGTTTCAAAATTCATGATTAGCTGATCTCTACACCTTAAGGGGAAAGTGTTTCCATTCTAGGGGTAATGTCTTTTTCTCTGTCTCCCTTCATCCCCTTCTTCCCTACAAACAGGCCAAATGACTTCAGGCAGCAGACAGTATAAAATACTGGACTTAATATCAAATTATATCGAACGCTTATATTCTCATACATAAAGCCCTCAATAATTACACTAAAGAAAAAAAAAAGATATTGCCAACTATTACCCAGGAATTACTTTTGTTTGAAAATTTAGGAAACAGGATTATTCAGAATTACCTATACATTATAAAAAATTGAATCTCTCATCAAAAGTATCTTTAGAGGGGCGCCTGGGTGGCGCAGTCGGTTAAGCGTCCGACTTCAGCCAGGTCACGATCTCGCGGTCCGGGAGTTCGAGCCCCGCGTCAGGCTCCGGGCTGATGGCTCGGAGCCTGGAGCCTGTTTCCGATTCTGTGTCTCCCTCTCTCTCTGCCCCTCCCCCGTTCATACTCTGTCTCTCTCTGTCCCAAAAATAAATAAAAATAAAAACATTGAAAAAAAAAATTAAAAGTATCTTTAGAGATAAACTTAGGGTTCAACTGTGGTTTGGCCAATTACTATGACCTTGGGAAATTACTTAACCTCTTTAAATCCCAGTTTCCTTATCTGAAAAATGATGATAAAAAGGTCTTCCTCACAGGGTATACATGAGAATTATGGAGATCCTGTATGTAAATAACTGCACAGTTCCTGGTAGTAAAAACTCAATCAAATTAAAAATGCTGGCAATAATCATATGCCCTTTTAGCCAAGCAATCACAAGTATTTTTGCTCTCAACTAAAGTTATAACTTCTTGTTCCCTTTTAAGTTATATTATGTTCTATGATCACATTTCCCTTTTATAGTTAAAATATAACACAGTCCTCATCCCCCAGCATTTTTATCACTTACACTTCATAAACGTTTTTTCTTTTTTGGTGAGAACTATGCCACCTCTTTGCTTCCCCATGCTTGCAGGATCCTTGGACCAATCAATATTCATGGTGGCCTGAAAGAGCTCAATTTATGGGCAATGAAGTGAATCACTTTATTATCAGGGGCAAATATGTTTATTTCCTTCATTGATGACCATGCGTGGGGAAAAAACCCCAACTAATTTGGCATTTATTCAACTATGCCTGGATCTACTGTGGATTAGGCAATGCTCTAGGTAAGGGACAGAGCAATGAACGTTTTTGGCTTCATGGATGTTGCCTAGAAAGATGCTAAAAGGAATAAAACTATTTGCACATTAGAATAATAAGTGGTTTAGTCAGGGCAAAAATCGTGTTTTCTCCCCTGGGAAACTTCAGTAAGTTATAAATGTTGGAAGAAAAATAGGGACTGGGTGTAAGAGCAATTGTGAAGAATAAAGGGTAAGTCATGGAGCCTTCATTCGGTTCCTACTTTATTTAAAAAAAAAAAAATTTTTTTTTTCAACGTTTATTTATTTTTGGGACAGAGAGAGACAGAGCATGAACGGAGGAGGGGCAGAGAGAGCAGGAGACACAGAATCGGAAACAGGCTCCAGGCTCTGAGCCATCAGCCCAGAGCCCGACGCGGGGCTCGAACTCACGGACCGCGAGATCGTGACCTGGCTGAAGTCGGAGGCTTAACCGACTGCACCACCCAGGCGCCCCTCGGTTCCTACTTTATATTTGCTGATACTATACAGGCTGTAAAACTGGATAGGATACAATATCTTCCCTCACAGTTTCCAGTATAGCCGGAGGATATGATATAGTAAGTGCTAAGTGCCATGGTTTCTTTAGTGTAACAAAAGGCTGATCTGAAGAAAAAACGTTGAAGAAGGCACATGTTCATGTAGCCACCTGAATGGAGCATCCCCGTACCTCACTGTACCAGGACTAATGGTAGCCATTCTTTGCTACGAAGACACGAGTACATCCAGGGAATAGTGACGCTCACCATCGGTAAGTCCCTTGGCAGACTTCATTGATCAAATTACATTTCTGATGTTTTAGATTAAAATGTTTTAGTTCCTGCACTCTCAGGGCAATATGTAATAACCAAGGTTAGAGATTGTAGAAACCGCTCTCTTGGATATTTAAAAACAAAAACCCACATCTGATAATGAATGCACAATTAGGCAAAAATGAGGCAGCCCATGAAAATGGCAGAAGTTGATGTTAACACAGCCTCTGGATGGAGTAAAAGAAATTAACTTAATATAGTCAGGGGAATCTGGGAAAAACTAAATTAAAACAGTGACATCAACAACAGGCAAAAAGAAAAGAAAAAAGACAAGAAAAGACAAAAAAAAAAAAAAAAGAAAAAAATAGAGAAGGCAGAAAAAAGTAAAGTAGTAAGAGGAGGACATGACCCAACAGCTTAGAGACAAGGAATAAAGGGTAGGAAATACAATTTCCCAAAGCCAGACCTGGTGCTTAAGGGGACACTGATTTTACCAACCCTAGAGTATACTTGTTGGTGGGACACAATTAGTGGAACACAAAACACAGCAAATAGTTTAAACCTTGACCTCTGCAAACAATGGCCGCTTTTATCTCACCTAAAATCCTTCTGGAGGATCTGCCCCATACCCCCAAGGTCAGCACCTTATGGATTTCCTCCAGGCTTGAAAAGCTCTACTGGAAAAAAATGGGTATTCTGTGAGTTTTAAGTTTCATTCACATGTTAATGAGATCTTCTGTTGGAACAGATACGGTTTATTGTGTATGCATCAAGCACTAAGGCAGGCTTATCTTCAATTCTCAGACTGATTTTTTAAAGTAGGTATTTTTATCTTCATTTATAGTTGAGGAAATTGGGTTTTAGGCAGATTAATGGACTCACCTAAGACCACAAAATGAAGTTTGTATCTTAACAATGATCGGCCTGATTTAAAAACTCAATTCCATTTCACTATGGTGGCTCTTAACCAATGCTGTACTTTTCAATTGCCTGGGGGGAACTTCTAAAAATAAAACTTAAATTATTTTTTGAGAGAGAGAGAGAGAGAAAGAGACAGAGAATTCTAAGCAGGCTCCATACTCAGCGGGAAGCCTGACTCGGAGCTGGATCTCACAACCCTGGGATCATGACCTGAGCTGAAATCAAGAGTCCAATGCTCAACTGACTGAGCCACTCGGGTCTCCCTAAATTAATTTTTAATCAAGGAAATATATATACAGTTAAGAAAAACCAAAGTACTGTTACACTGGTAGTGAAAGACAGCAATCCTCTATCTTTTCTCTACTCATCTCTGATTTTTTTCTCGAGACAACCACTTCTTATGTTTATTGTTGTTTTTTCTGAATGTCCATATACTGATTTATTGACTTCTCTACATTAGATCTTCACTGATTCTTCCCCATTACACATACCTGTCTCCTCTCCAATCCCCACAATGTTACACAATCATTTCTTGTTGTATTAGTATTCAGCATTTATATAATTATGACTGACTTTATAGGACTAGTATTATTCATAATTTGGAAGTATGCAGTGTAGTTTTTGAAAAACTGAATTGTCCTGTTTCATAATAAATTTGTTTCCTTAATTTTTTTATTGTTTATTTTTGAGAAAGAGACAGAGCAGAAACAGGGGAGGGGTAAAGACAGACAGAGACACAGAATCTGAAGCAGGCTCCAGGCTCTGAGCTGTCAGCACAGAGCCCAATGCAGGGCTCAAACTTGCAAGCCTTGAGATTATGACCTGAGCCGAAGTCAGATGCTCAACCGACTGAGCCACCCAGGCACGTTTGTTTCCTTAATTTTTAAAAACTCTGCAGATCACTAATCCATTCCCAGACTCTGAAAAACTAAGTATCTCTTGTCTTTATATTCAAACACATCCGGTATTCTCAGTTTTTCTTTTTGAGACATTCTACCTATCTTTAGTCATTTCTTACTGAATTCAAGCTGTTCTCCCCTACTCTCCTCCCTCTTAAATATAGTTGTGTTACGATTTTAGCAACTTTATGGCATACCCTTTGTGCCCTTTACCCTTTAAATAATCAAATGCTTCTTCTCCACATCAACAAGACTCTATCTCTTAACTTCCCACTTTATAAGGACATCATTACCATTCCATATACTTTGCCCTCCCCCTTCAACAACCCTACTTGAAAACTGTACTTTTCCATTATCAAAGCTGTTAACATTTGCATTCTACTTTGTAACCATAATTAAGTATTCTCTCAAAAGATAAAAACCATAAACAGCATTTACATTAATTATTATGATTACTGAAGTGTTATTCACAAAATAACCAAGGTTAGTGCTATGACTGGACTTCCTTTTCTTTGGTTCCAAGGTCTTGAACTACACGGACACTGCAAGAGGGTCCACTTTCTAAAACTCCAACCCTGTTCAAAATCCAGCAGCATTTTTCGTTGTTTGGTATTAGAAGGATGTTTTTCCTGTACACTTGTGGTTATTTTCACTGAGAATTTCAGACTGTCATTGTTTTCTCTTGTTGAAGAAATATATTTGCCTTCCACGTATCTCTTTAAGATCTTCAGCTTCTTATTCATTCAATGTCTTGGTTCCAGTCCAATCCCATCTTCCCGAAATTTGTTTTAATTTGGACCGTGAGCTTGTACATGAAAAATTTTTTTTTCTGAAAACTTTAGTAGCCGCCCTTTTCTTTACTCGGCATCATGTTCATCCTGTTCTTAAGGCTGCAAAGCATCTTAAATATTGTCGTAGGCCTTAACTGAGGTTCTTTGCTGTCCCCGGAAAATCGCGTATTTCCTTTCTCTAGCCTCGACCCGCTTTCCGCCCCGGCCCTGGAAGCTCCGGTAGGAACCGAGAGCGCAACCGCACAGAGCGCTCACGACCTCTCGCGAGATTCCAGAGCTCCGTGCTTACAAATTTTCTTCACCGCCGCCAGGCCTCCTGGGAGTCCGCCATGTCCTGGCCGGGATGTAGGCAGCGTAATCACGGCACTAAATATGTACCTGCAAGCGGATGTTGAGGATCACCGAGCCCGCGACGTAGAAATACGGGAAGTTCATGCGCAGCTGCCAGGCCAGCTCGAAGAAGGCGAGCAGGGTGCGGGAGAGCCCTTTGCAGAAGACTCCATATGAGCTGGAGGCCCCGGCCGTGCTGGAGGCGCTGAGGGCCAAGGAAGACGGAGCCGCCGCGGTGGCCATGAATCTGGTGTTGCCGCTCCCCCAGGGCATAGATCCGAGAGTCACCCCGGCTCTTGCAGGCCTCCGACCAATGGCCGGGACGGCGAGGGGCGCAGTGCGGGCGGCTAACGGACCGCCGGACTCACACCTGCGCCTCCCGCTGCCGCAGCTTCCTCCCCAACGGCGCTCGGCCCCGGCAGCCGTTGGAGCTCCGCCCCTTCCTGTTTGATGCTCCTACTGGTTTTTAGCGCTTAAAGCTTAACAGGCGGTAGGTGCGCAAGGGGTTATTTATATATATGCCATACATAATGTCTTATATATGGACAGCCAAACAGATATGGTTTTCTCTTTAAAATGAATAAAGGTAAATAAAATCATATAATTTGCCCTAGAGAACACAGTTTGTAAGGGTCAAACTCTAGGTTAAAACTGAGGTTTGTCTGCTGTGTGATCTGGGTTATTAGCCGGGAATCTCACCCTTTGATTTCATAAAATTAACCCTAATATTAGAGCCAGATGAACTCAAGTTCAGGCACAAAGTCTCCGTGTTCATAACATACTATAAGTGTAAAGGATCACAGTCGTGGGCTCTGGGTTGTCTTATGTATTAGACTCTTCCAGTTGCAAGTGATAGAAACAGTTATTTAAGCAAAACAAAACGAAACGCACATACATACGCATATATACTTTTCTTTTTTGATACGTATATACCATATCATATTCCCACCCAGGTGGAAAAAGTCCTGATTAGATATGGAAGATTCTACCATTTCTGCCTGGGGATACACCTGTAATGTGTGGCTAGGCCCCAAAGGTTGGAATATCACTAAAAACTATGAATAACCTTAGTGTAACATAGCGTATCTCCCATAGCCACATATTCTGGTGTTTAAATGATGCACACTTCGTTAACTTCTCTAACTTCTCCCATTTTAACTAGTAAGCACTGCATTTTTCATCATAGACAACTTCTGTATATAAGGATTATTCAGATGTGTAACTTCTGATCAAAACATTCATATTACAGTCGTTCTGAAAATTGTTCAAATATCCCGCATCTCACCCTGCAGCGAATAGCTGTGGTGACCATTCCAAGTGCAATTTATGTGTCCCAGAGGGACACTCTGTGGCATGATATTTGTAAAATGTAATTGTGTGTCCCCAGCAAGAATTTCGTCTACTTTTGCTCTACTAATACCATCCCAGTAACATTATGTGCACAGCCCTTAGAGAAACTGATTACAAGTCATTTAAGACGACTTATAAAATACAGAATATTTAAAAATATAAAATATTCATTAAAAAAAATTTTTTTTAACATTTATTTATTGTTGAGAGACAGAGACAGAGCATGAGCAAGGGAGGGGCAGAGAGAGAGAGGGAGACACAGAATCCAAAGCAGGCTCTAGGCTCTGAGCTATCAGCACAGAGCCTGACACAGAGCTTGAACCCACAAACCGCAAAATCATGATCTGAACCAAAATCGGACACTCAACCGACTGAGCCACACAGGCACCCCTAAAATATTCTGAAAAGTAGTGTAAGATAAATGACAACTCTTGAGAACCAGGAGAAAATGTTTAATTTTAGTACACAAGTACAATATACTCTTCCTAAAACTTAAAAAAGTAATAGAGGTATTAGGGGTCACTGAAGTCGTTAAGTTTCTGGATCTTCCATTTCCAACTGTGTAAAACTATGTGGACTTATTCTCCTCTACCCTTTCTCTGCTACCCTACCCCCTATCCCCAGTATTGGTTAACTCCATCAAAATCCTGAGCCCATGGGAAAAATAGCCCCCACCTACAACTAATGTGGTTAGGTAGATGTCCTGTTCCAATGGGAAAGGACTAGCCAAATAAGAGTAGTCATGAAGCTCTGACTCCTACGCATTAATGCTCTAGAGCTGCTGAAGGATTTCCATCAGGTGAAACTGACATTGGAAGGTGCATAGGATCAATATTTTACATGGTTGTGGTTTTTATGTCCTTTGCCTTGAAATGACCGGCTCACATTTCTTGCCAAATAGGCATATGTAAGCTATCAATAGTAACACGTGTTCTACACCATTTCTCTAATTGATACTTCATTTAGTCCCAACTTGACCTTTCCTAATCTTTCTTATTCCTGTCTTTTTGACTGTATGTTCCCAATCTAATACTTTTTAATGGCCTGTTTAATGATTCTTTGGAAAAATTTAAGCACCAGTAAGACTGCAAAGTACTATATTGGTAAATTCTCACTATTGTAGTTAACAGGTATAATATGTCGTCTTTCATTTATCATTTGATTAACTTTGGTCTTGTCTCTTATTCTGAGTCTGGCCAAAGATTTGCAATTTTGTTTATCTTAACAAACAAACCAGTCTTAGTTTCACTGATTTGTTTCCTGCTGTCCGTATAGTCTCTATTTTTCATTTACGCTCCTTGTTAGTTTTTTCCCTAGTTCCTTGCAGTATAAGTTAGGTTGTTTATTTGAGAATTTGCAATTGGCCTGGCCCAAGCTCATGGTTGTCACTCAAACCTTTGTGATTGTCTGTGCCACTGTCTTGGTTCTTCGTGGCTCCCAGTAGATGATGGTATGTGAAGACCTGTCAGTGTGCCTAAAGCTTGGGAACCTGTTCAGGCTCCTGGAGAACTACTAATTACTTTCCCCTTCAGTCCCTAGATGCAGGCCTGACCTTCATGCCACAGCTGAGAAGTCAGGACGTTAGATATGGAGATGAACCCCTATCATGGAGAAATGGTGATTTTGCTTACTTTGTGCTAAGCAGAGGAGATAGGTATGGGGAGTCTTTGTGTGCACATCTAGAGCTACCTCTTTATTTTGTGTGTGGTCCCTAGGGACTTGTGAATGCTGAGTCCTTCCAGAGCCAATCTGTCTGGCAGCAGCCATAATCGTTGGGGTGTTGGATGTGTAGATATGCTGCTTCTCGTGAGAAGCCGAAGATTGGGTTTTGTTGTTGAAGTGATCTGGAAGATCGCAGTGGGTGATACGGCCAGCAACTTGAGCACATATGTGGCTCAAAATCAAAGCCACATATTCAAGAATTGTTGCCATTATAGCTCACTTCTAATACCAGTTTTTGTACCAGTCAGCTTTTATTGTGTAACAACCACAAAACTCAGTGGTAGACGACACTAAACATTTATTTCGTATATGTCTCTAGAGACCAGTGATCTATGTTGGAGTTGCCATAGATATCTCCACTGTTTTCAGATTTCTCGTTCTGTACCTGGGGGCCAACTGGAAGCTAGTAAGGGGAACTTGATCCTCCTATCTCTTAGCCTTCTCCCTGGACCAGTTCACTAGTCTAGACATAACCTTCTCATGGTGATGGTAGAAATACAAGCGCGAACAAGACTCAGTATGCAAGCCCCAGTAATGTAAGTCCAGCAATATAAGATTCTGCTTGCAAAATTTATGCCAACATCTAATTAGCCAAAGCAAATCACACGGCTGAGGACAGTGAAAGAATAGAACAGATCATCCCTCTCATGGTGAGAGAGGATAGGAATGTGATAGGCTGAAGAATTGGGACCAATTTAAGGAATCTACCGCGGCATCCCATACATCATTAAAGCAATTCTAAGCGACATTTATGGCCTTGCGTATACCCGAGTCTCAGTTTTCTAGTCTTATCTGAAATTCTCCATCTTATAGTAAGATCTTAGGGAGCTCCATTTGGACTTACAGAGATGATTACCACTGCCACCTTTTCTGGAATTCTGCTAATTCTGTTTGTTTGTTTGTGTCTGTTTTGTGTGTGTATGTGTGGAAGTTTCCTGTAAATCCCCACATCTGTCCTATGTGTAAACTTCTGACAACTTTCTGCTTATTAATAACTCCATTCTGTTCCTTCTTGGGATGCATTCATATTTTCATTGGGGTCTTACTGGTCACCTTGCTTCCTCTTTATTGAAAATATTGGGCAGGCAGTAGTTTTCTTGTTCAGATTCCCCCCACCCCCAGCATCACTTCTCTGAATTTTGCCTTTTGAAGACCCTGTTATAGCACATGGTATAAATATGTTTCATTTTTTTATGAAAGCACCTATCATTTAAATTCAACTCATTTTCTTGTCATTGAATAGGTAATATAATCCAAAGGTATGTTCCATCATCAAACCTCCATTCCAAGTCCATAGTCATCTTGCCCGGCTCTCCCTTTCTCACCTTCCATATACTTTCTTTTAATGTCCTAATTTCATATATTTCTTTGCATCTTGATGCAAAGACCTAATACATGCCATTCTTCTGAGCCACATTCAGGTACATCTTGAAGTTCAATAATTAATGCCAGAAATGTCTCCATATTCTATTACTGCTTTGTGTAGTCATCTTAGCAATAAGAACTCAGAATTTGTACCTGCCAGAGCCAAGATTGAGATTCAGGCTTATCTTCTATTTAGGCTAGTATATAAGTCCAGAACTATCTTAGTTCCAAAATCTTTGTGCTTTTCACTACACTGCACTGGCTCTAAATTTATGTAAAAGTAAATCTTTATTAGGAACCAAACTGGGCTAAAGGTACCTAAAGTCTATTTCATAACATAACCATCGATGTTTAAATGGAACTGCAGGGTGTGGATATTCTCATAGTAGTCAAAGATATTTAAGTTTTAAGTTAGAGAAAAGTAACACAAACAGACTTTTATACAACTGAAAATTCCAGGACTAGAGCAGCTTTCTGTATGGTTAGATTTAGATGAACATGATAGCTGTGGCCAAGCCCAAAGATAAGTCTTGAAAATTAACAGCCAATTTTCAATCTCTGTAGCAACAATAAAATGACACACCTGCACCCTCCTGTGACCCCAGTATTCTTTACATGCAGGTAGACTCCCTGTCAATGATGTTAACTGCCATAGACTCTAAGTCTAAAGTTCTCTCTTGTCTAACAAAAGAGCGGACACAGGATTGAAGCAAGAGATGGCTAGTGTCCGGGAAAAGACAAGAGAGAACTTTAGACTTAGAGTCTATGGCAGATGGTGGCCCCGACGTGACAGAAGGAAAGGGGGGACTAGGGGCCGATGTGGACAAGGAGCCGATGTGGCCAAGCTTGCGACGTGGCCAAGCTTGCGACGTGGCCTTGCGACACAAGGACTGCAGGACACCGCGGACCGGTAAAGGAGCTCCAAGAAAAAAATGCACCAGGTACAGTCTCTACCTAACCAGGTAAGGGATAAAGCAAAACTCTATTAGGATT